CTGGGTTGTGACGGCACATTAACAGTGGTGGAAACCTTGTAAGGCGGAACGCCACATTCTAGTTCCTGAAGCTGCAAGTGGAAACGATCGCTCAGATTGTGTTAATGCAGCTGCCAGTTGGCCCACTGCTCGCAGCAGAGCAGGTTCTCATCGGAGGGAGGCCTGGTGGTGTGCTCCCGTGACTGCCGCTCCGTTCACTGCCCGTCCGTGCCGCTAGCTTGTAAATTTCATAAGCTCAATGTTGCCTACAGTTTGGGAATAAGCAGTTAATGAAGAATACGTTTGTGACAAAGTCTTACCAAATCTTAAGAGACTCTTATTGCTGAGAATACTGGACCAAGGGGGGGGAAATTATGTTGAACAGAATACATTTGAATTTTATCTTCAGAACCAGGGGGTAAGGGAATACTGGAACATCACATGTAAGATACATTTAATAGTGTGTTCTTGCTCACTGGAGAACAGGGGAAGGTTCCCAGACCCTGTCGTCCAATTCTCTACTCACCCCTCAAGTTCATAATATTCAAGACTGAGTTAATTATTTCCCCAGTCAGATCTCGTCCAGTTTTTCTTATGTTGGTGCACCACCGTCCACCCATTTTCACGTTGGAAGCCTGGAAGTCATTCTCAGTGTCTGCTCTGAGAGGAGGAGACAGTAGAGATTATCACCAAGTTCTATTGATTTCTCAGGTTGGTCCGTTCTCCCCACCTCCACCTTCTCCTCTCTGGCCCACTGCAGTGTACGCCTAACTGGCCTCCTGCCCTCACATTTCTAACCCCATTTCAATCTGTTCTCCACACTGTAGCTAATATTTCCAACATGCAAATTAGATTGTACAAGGTCTGTACAGAAAAAGTCCAGTCATTGTTAATATAACAAGAAGAGTTTGTGCAACATCAATGTAACCTGACAGCCAAGGAGAGTGGACTGGAATGCACACAAGTGAACAATGACAACCTCACTGTACTAGTCAGTGGGGGCAGTGGGCACTGTTGAGTGAGCATGTGCACTCTGTGGCTGCTGCACTCAAAATGACTGAGCGAGTAGGGCAATTAATCTGCATCAATTTTGCGTAAAGCTTGAACATTCCTCTGCGGAAACTATTTGGATCATTCAGAAGCCTTGGCCATGGGCAACTTGTGATTGGCAGCTTCATCAGGACAATGTGCTGACTAGTGCAGAGTTTTTTGGCAAAACATCAAGTCACCCAGGTGACTCAGACCCCCTACAGCCCAGATTTGGCAACCCGAGACTTCTGGCTTTTCCCAGAACTAAAATCACCTTTGAAAGGGAAGAGATTTCAGACTGTTGATGAGATTCAGGAAAGTATGACCGAGCAACTGATGGCGACTGGGAGAACTGTGTGAGGTCCCCAGGTGCCTACTCTGAAGGGGACTGAAGCACAGGAAGTTTGTACTCTTTCAGGTGACAGCTTTACAGCAAATGCCATACACATCATCGAACTGGTAGAAAGCATTTTCAGTGCAAATGTAGAAAGGGCCCACATGCCCACCAGGAAAGTTTCAAAATGTTCAATTTGCTTGTATTAAGCAGAGTATTCCGAGGAGATTTCTGAAGGCTTTGGTGATGTTGTCCACATTATAGATGATGCAAAGCCCCTCTGTGCTGGACACAACAGTGGTCTCTCATTTTATCTTGCCAGCTCTCACTGGCTGAGAGGCATGGGCTTTTTTAATGTCATCCCAGGCCTTAAGTTTCTTAAGAAGAAAAACAGCCTTCTTAGTTTCTCGTAGGCTTCAATTTTATCTTCAGCCACCGAAGAAAGTTCAGGAACTTCCTCAATATGATGACCTTTAGACATGGTCAGTGCTGGAAGTGCCGAGGTAGCCGGGACAGAGCGGATGGCATATCACTTCTGTGTTGTGTCCACTCTGCTATGCCAAGGGCACCAGCTTTTGGTTGGTGCGAACACCCGGCCCCGTGATACATTTTTCCAAAAGCACTGTGGCCAGAACGACGAGTCTCACCTTGAACTCTGGGAATTCAAGGCCCAGCTCTGCCAGTACTCCACATCTCGGCCCTGGCTTCATGACCTGCCAATTGACTGACAGCACAGAGCTGGCTGTTGTTTTTGCTTAAGTCAGTGCAAACAAAGTTCACAATATCTGGTCGGATGGGGGCCTGGAACACAGCAGGCAAAGTGACGTGTTGTCCAGTGATGCCCCCTTTTCAGAGTGCACTGATGGCACTCGCCGGGGCGTGGAGAGGAGAGGGCCGAACTTCTCTCAGCCCGGTGGCTCCCACAGGAAAGCAAAACAATTTTAAATTAAGATGTAGAATTATGTATTAATTTGCTAATCTTTTGGTAAGGCTTTTCTTTTATATATGAATTGTCAACTAGTATTCTCTTGACTCTTTTCTTGCATAAACAACACTTCACATTTACTCTGATTTTTATTGAAATGAGAACTTTGATGCTTTGAAACAATATGTGTGCAGAATCTGTCTCAATTTTTCATGATTTTTTATTTTCTCTCTATCCTTTTATACTCATCTTGTCCACACCTGGTTCGGTAGCAGTTTTTCTAGTGATTCACATTTGTTATTGTTTCTAAGATTTTATTTATTTATTTTTTAGGGAGAGGGGAAGGGAGAGAGAAAGAGGAGAGAAACGTTGATATGTGAGAGAGAAACATTGGCCAGCTGCCTCTCACATGCCCCCAAGTGGGGACCAGCCCGCTAACCAGGCGTGCGCTCTGACCAGGTATCAAACTGGTGACCTTGTGGTTTGCGGGACGACACCCAACCCTCTGAGCTACACCAGTCAGGGCTTGCATTTGTTATTCTTAATACCATTTGTAGTTTATGTTGGTGTGTGGTGGAGGAAGGCAGTTGTCCCACTGATAAGAGATTGGGAGCTGGGCCTAGAAATGGCTCTGCAACCAACCACGTCTGCAGGTGCCTGAAGTTCTACCATTAGTGCAGGTTGCTCTGCGTCCACCTGAAGACGGGCCCTCAGGGAGATGATGGGGCAGCACACAGGCATGCGTGCCCGGCCGGCCTCAGAGTCCCCAAGTGCTCACACAGCTGCCCTGTAGCGTCTATCTCGCAGACGTTTCTTTGATCCAACTAGACCTGTGCATATTTTTTGTAGTTAAATTTATGTCTTTGTCTTTTCAGGGAGAAGGGTTAAATACATGATGTTCCCTAGCCATGCTTTCTTTGTCTCCTGTCTGTGGCTGCTCAGATACCCTGATGTCCCTTGGAGTACATGACGCGGCAGGAGCTTTCTTTGTTCCAGAGGGAATGGAGCACGAATGTCTGGGGCCTCACTGACCTCGCATTCCAAGGTCCCGGGCCTGCTGCAGCTCAGCCAGCTGCCTCTTCACCCAGCGCCGTCTTCCTTCCTTCCTCATCAGTGCTCCCTGCAGAATAGCTCTGGGCTTCCTTCCGGTGCGCAGTGGGCCATGGGCCTGGATCCTGTCTCTGTTGACCCTTACCGTCCCATGGAAAGACCTTTTCCTAGAAGAGAAGCACTTGGCTGGTGTTACATTTGACCCATCGGGTTAGAGGATAGCATCTCCCTGTTTCTGTTCACCTCTTGGTTGGAAGTGCAGACATCCATTACTGCAACAGGACCGGTGATGCTCCGCAGATAGTTAGCTGTTTGGTCTGCTCCCAGAGCAAGCGCATGTTGTGTTTGCTGCCATTAGGTTATGAGGTCCTTGAAGCTAAGGTATAAAAGGGTGGTTAAAATCTGGGGCTTTAGCATCAGGCAGTCAGTCCTGAATTCAAATTCTGGCTTTGCCATCACCAACTCTTCCGACCATAGGAGAATTACTTAAACTCTTTGTGGCTCGATTTCCTCATCTGCGCAGTGGGGATCATAACCATGATACTTTCTTCAGGAGACTGTTACACAGATTTTTAAAAGGTGAGGTGCAGAAAACATTGAGCACAGTGTCTGGTTTGTAGCTCGTGCTACAATGCCCAACAAATGTCAACGGTGATGTCGCTGTTAAGAATAATTATGGTGCTGTCAGCACCTTCCAAGTTGCTCTAAGAGTTTGCTGAATGACTGGGTCCAGGAAGTACGGTTTAAAGGCCTTACGAGAGAGTGGAAACATTTTAATGCCATGCACCCTGGGAAGCAGTTCGGACCAGGGATGGAGTGCCCGCTCATGCTGATAAAGTTAACAGAGATCACTTCTTGAGCAGGCTGTGTCTCAGAAGAGCAGTTCATTGAGTTAGTTGGGATTAGTATGTTATATCCTGCTGGAATGGTTGCATTTGTTTATATCTACTAGTAGAATAACTCCGGGAACTTGAATTAGTGGACCGAATGCCTTTGTAACTGATGGGAAGAAGCAAGTTGCAGCCTCAGGGATATGCACTCCACATAAAAACTGGGATTTTGCTTTTCTTGAGGAGAGCAAGATTCTAAACTGTAATGACAAGGCAGTTCTTGGTGTGGCTGCAGTTGAGTCAAGGCCTGAAAGTTCTCTGGAACCGGCATCTTGGTTACCGGTCGAAGAAATCAGCACCTGGCCTCCCAGCCCAAGTTCTAGCACTTTTATTTCTCATTTCTGTCCTTTCACACTTTTGTTGCTTTTGTTGTGGAAGCCCGGGGCCATTTGGTGTATTGCCTAGGTAAATAGCCTTTTAACATTTTAAATAATTTGGCATAAGTTCAACACTTCTGGCTACTTAAAATCCAAAGAGTAATGTTCACTGTCCCTTTAAAAAATTAGATGTGTTCTCTCTCCCAACCCGCAGGAAGGCTTTCCCCTGCCCCGCTTCTCCATGCCCCGCTGGGGGGTCAGTGATGCTTGGTGGGTAGCAGAGTGGCGGGCTATAGGCAGGGCAGCTCTGTGAGCTCCCATCTCTGTCAGTAGATACAGGCCACGTCACACTTGTCCCGTCACTCAGGGATGTTTAGGTAGCTGCTGTCACTGTACTTGGTGCCTCTGAAGGGTAATACCTTCCAGCTAGGTCTTTTGGACATAAAATGACAAGTATTTTGGCTTCTTCTTTCTAGATCTAATGTTTTGACGTGGCTTCCTGCTTCGCTGCTGTTTGTGGCCATTATCTATGCTGGTTCCAGAGCATTGTCCAGACTGGTAAGTGTCAGAGGTGTTGGGGGACAGAGCTTCTGCCTTCTGCCCCTTTGCCTTTTGACTTACTGTGCACGGATCAATGGGGAACAAAGCTCTAGCTTTAATGGTGGCACAGCTAAGTTGGAGAACAAGCCTTGGACTTGAGGCCAATATGGGAACTTTCACTTCCTCTCCCTGGATTGAAGACAAACAGAGAACAGGGAAGGGCCAACTTGTTTTGTAAGATGGACAGACACACATGGAGATGCTGGAAGAAAGAACAGAGACATTTCTGGGGTCTGTCACGGAGAAGGACAGCCTGCTCTGCCTGAACCTGGTCCATCCTCAGGAGCAGGGAGAAAGCCTGCCCCTTGCTCTCCGGGAACTGGAACCCTGCCCATTGGTTCTATTGCCCAGGGCGTGCTGGTTCAGTCATGGACATACACACCTGGCACAGAGTTGGTACCCAGTAACAAGGGGAGGCGAGGGAGAAAAATCTTTATCTTCCTACTGTAATCCCCCTCAGGGCTGAGGTCCTCAAAGGTGGTTGCTGTGAAGAACAAACTTCCAGTTTCATTATATAGAACTCCAAAAATTTAGTTATTTTGCCATCAAAAGAGAATCAGTTGATACCACCATTGACCAGAGACTCAGAGCATAGCTTAAAAATCAGTGATGGTGGTAACGCCTCTTCCTGTTTTTATGTGAACTACTAACTGTTTTTATGTATCAGAAAATGACTACATTCTTATTTTTGGAAAAATGCAAAACTTGCAAAAAATTCAGTCCTTTTATGTAAAGTGTGTTGTCATATTGGTTTCTTAGCTCTCAGATATGGAAATAGTAAAAAAATGCACAAACAAGGTCTGCCTAACTGGATCACAATATCATTGTTAGGACCACTCCAAAGTTGCAAAACAGTGGTTGAGAATGAATAGCAGTGATTTATAAATTAAATCAACATTTTTTCCATGATTTTTAAGCTTATGAGCTTTCCAGCTCCTTAAGTGGAGAAGATGATGTGTGCAGCGGGGGAGAAACGCCCTGGGTGGGCCTAAGAAATAACCCGCAGTGCATGCTGGGGCTCGCCCCAGACCAGGAGGCCTGTACTGGCCCTGGGCTGTCAGACCCCTGCAGGGCTGTTGCCTTATTTTACTGCCTGTGGCCTGCAGAGGGTGCTTCCTGTCCTGTAGCAGAGTAGAGCATTTGATAAAAAACAATGTGTTGTCTAAACGCCTTTAACATTTTTATAGGATCTGCATAGTTATTGATGCTAGAATTTTGAAGTTTGAATAACTAAGGTATTGTGCTAATAATAATACTTTTCATTTGTATGGTGCTTTTCATGTTTCCAGAGTGATTTTTTTTTTTCTGTATCTCATGGTCACCTGATAGGCTAATGTTAACCACCCGACAGAGGGAGGAACTCAGGTGTGGAGAGCCTTGGTCATCTGCCTCTGGTTCTAGAGAGTGACAGCTCTTCTGAACTTCTGCCTTTTTAGATTTCCTCTTTAGGACCATGTGTGTGGATTTTAGAACAGGCCCAAGGTATAGCAGTCATGTATAAGTTCAGACTCTTTTGGGTGTAACGGTTGGAAAGCTCATAAACTGGTCTAAATAAAAGGGAAATTTACTGGTTCACTCACGTGAAGAGTCAGATGGTAGCTATCTGCTTCAGGCAGGGCTTGATCCAGAAGATCCAATGACATACTCAGAATCCAGTTTCTATCTCTGTGTCTTTTAATTCCTCTCTCTGTCTTTGCTCCATTTCTGACCTTTTGCCAGGCTCTCCTCTCATGGGTTTTGTTGACTACAGACTCACATCCTCACAATTTTAAGTGTGATAGAAAGAGACTTTTTTCCTTGTAGCTCCTATGAGAGTCCCTGGATTCATGCTGGTTGGATAAGCCATGTCCGAAAGCTGACCAGGAACATGGAATCACGCTGATTGTCTGGCCCTGGACCAAGGCCTCCCTCAGCCAGTCGCTGTGGCTGGAGAGACTCGGAGCACTCTTTAGCCAGGCCTGGCCACACAGGATCCCTACCTGCGTCCCACAGACTGGGAGAGGGTATGGCAGAGCTTCAATATTGGGAGCTTTACCAAAAGAAGGGATAAGAATATGAGGTGGCAAAAAAACCTTTCAAAAGTCCATCATAAATGTCAGTCTGGTATGTTCTCAGGATATGGGCAGTTCCATGATCTGGAAAATGCTTCTCAAAATGAGACGCCCAGGCAGTGTGGGTCTGTGGGCTCCGTGTTACCTGCCCACAGGACGGGTACCTCAACCTCTGCACTGACCATACTGTTCAGCTGAGCCGACTTTTATTTTTACAGCAATACCTTTTGTAGAAGAAAACAAAGAATTGATTTACATTCCGGTCTGAGCTGCTTGTCTTCTTGAGGACCAGCACTTTGGGTGGCTTTGACCTATAGCACCGGGGCCCCCTCTAATAGGCAAAAAGAAGCTGCCACAGGTCAAGCCCTTTGAGCAAAGGGGAAACAGCCAAAAACTCAAATATACCAATTAGGGGAGAGGACGCCAGAGAGGAGACACACATTGTTTTGTAGGTGAAATACATGAACCCGGCCTATTTTTTGTTTTCTGGGTTTTTTGTTTTCACACAGTTGCTTAAAAATTCAGAGTGGATTAAACATGAGGCACTTGTACAGCTTGTGGTAGATGGAAAATAGCCGACTTTTGGGAAAATGGGCATCAGTGTGCTGGCGCCCAGCTGTCAGGGTAGTGGATCTGCGCGGACTGGCGGGGGAAGCGCTCAGTTAAAACCCATGGATGCACGACACTCTCTGCTGGGTCAAGGCACACTCTTTCTGCTGACAAGACAGAAGCTCTGTCCTGATGTGCAACCCCAGGAGGAAGCTGGTTTAACTGCCAAGGCCCTGTGAGGACACTACTTTATTGATTTTTCCACCTGAAATGCACAACTAAATGCTGTACGGAGATAAGGGAAATAAAATCCTGGCTACCCGTTCAGCAGATATTTATTGAGGATCTACTATGTGCTGGGGGCTGAATGACAAATCCTAGTTCCTGACCTTGAGGAACTTCAAGGGGAGTCACACGGGTGTGTGAGAACAGCCACCGTGAATATGCAGTGTTGGTATGTGTCGGGCACTTCCCAGAGCCAACCTCTGTGACTAGACAAAGTCAGACTCAATTACTCCCATTTACAGATGAGGAAACTGAGATGCAGATTATTTGGCCAAAGTCAACAGCTAGTTGTAAATGTTAAAGTAGAGACACAAGCCCAAGCCCTTCAACTTTACAGCACACCTCCAAAGCTGGCCCTACATTTCTCAAACCAAAGGAGATCAGCCCATCTGGACTGAGCAGGGTCAAGCGGAGAGGAACTGCGTTGTTCTCCCTTCTATAGGGGCGAGTAGAAGGGAGTCTGCTCTGCTTCTCCAGCTTCCCTGCCCTTGAATAAGGTCACAATGATGATAGCTCTGATGGCACGAGTGCCAGTCTTTGGAGGGACAGGACAGTCTTGTTATAACTCTTGTTATAATTTTCTGGTCAGAGCCGTTTCAGCAGGATGGGTTGCCTCCAAGCCCGTGCTGGTGAGTGTTTAGAACAGATGTGCAAAGTCATGCACGAGGGAGCTGGCGCGGGAGAGAGAGGCTGTGCGGATGGTGGTGATTCGGCTCCTCCCACCACGCAGTGTCCGCGCTGGGGGAAGCGGGGTCAGAGGTTGGAGAGGCTCTGCAAATCTAAGTTAAGGCATCCTGACAGGCCTGGGCTTGGTTTGTTACGCAGCTCTTTGATCTTGGTCCTTCCCTAATTGCTCATCAGGGATTCTGCCTTCTGTGAGCACAACATTCACTCAACACGTTGGGATGGAGATTAGATGGGGGTGTTGGTGAGAAAGTGCATGTGGAGTAAGTTACTCAGTAAAGCAAACTGGAGCCCATAGATCATGGAAAGGCGCTTGGATCCACCAAGGAGAAGAATGTAGATGTGGGTGGAGAGTGGAGACCCTTCCCCTCGTGTCGCCTGTCCCTGCTGGTTAGAGGCAGCTCTCTTCTTTCCTGTCGTTTCTTCCCAGAGCGGAACAGAGTCCAACCGCAAGGATGGCTTATGAAACCGTGGGCTGCCTGGCAAGTCAGTAACCCCCTCCTCTGGACTCAAGTTATCTACTTGTTCTACTAAAGATGTTCTCCACAATGCCTATAAAATGACTTACTGAAATGGGGCTCCAAGGGGAAAACTTCACCGCATTGGAGTGGGCAATGATTTCTTGGATACGATAACAAAGACGCAGTCATTAAAAGAAAAAATAGACACACTGGACTTCATCAAGGTGAAAACTCGGTGCACCAAAGGACACTGTCAGCGGAGTAAAAGGGCAACCCACAGGATGGGAGAAAATATTTGCAAATCACTTTTCTGATAAGGGATTAATACCTAGAATATATAGGAAACTCAACAACAAAAACCAAACAACCTAGTTCAAAAATGGGCAAAGGACTTAATAGACATTTCTCCAAAGAAGATAGTTAAATGGCCAATAAACCCATAAAAAGGTGCTCAACATCATTAATCATTAGGGAAATGCAAATCAAGATTATAATGAGATACCACTCCATACCTATTACATTGGCTGTTGTCCACAATACAGAAAATGAGAAGAAGTATTGGTGAGGACCTGGACGACTTGGAACCCTTGTGCATTGCTGTCTGGAAAGGGAAGTGGCGCGTCTGCTGTGGAAAACAGTACGGTAGATCCTCAAAAACTGATGCAAATGCCTCAAAAAGTGGGCATTTGCATACTTAGGCTCGTAGCAGCATTATTCACAATAGCCAAAAAGCGGAAGCAGCCCAAGTGTCCATGGATGGATTAATGGATAAGCAAAATGTGGAAGATACACAAAAGGGAATATTATTCAGCTGTAGAAAGGAAGGAAATTCTGACACATACTACAGGGGTGTCCAGCCTTTCTGCATCTCTGGGCCACACTGGAAGGACAAGAGTTGTCTTGGGCCACACATTAAATACATTGTGAC